TGAACCGTTACACTCAGCTCAAGCACATACTTGGGATGGTCGAAAGCATTTCTCAAATCAAGAAAATAGAATGAGCACATCAGATTTGAACATTTGAAGAATTCGAGATCAGGGATCAGAACTTGAAGATTCTAGAAAAGCAACCGGAGATCGAGATTTCTCTTCTGAGCCCAAAAATAACATATGTTGCATATGCATTTTAGGCATACCTAAGAGCATTGCATCCATCTCATCACATATATGCATAACTTTTTCAGGTTTTAGCTAGAGTCAATTTCAACTTCGCAGCGAAGGATATTGAGCTCAAAGCTACACAATCAACTCGAGAGTAGATTTTAACTTCACGACGAAGGATATCTAGCTCGAAGCCGAATTTCACAATAAAGATATCATCCACGGTTTCAACTTCACGGCGAAGGGAATTGTGTCCACCCACAACATATGATACTTGGATTTCAACTTCACGACGAAGGATATTCAAGTCAAAGCTCAATTTCACGACGAAGGGGCCATCAGCGATTTCAACTCCACGACGGAGGATATCGTGTCACTCGAGACAACACAAGTTCAACTTCACAACGAAAGGACGACTGGTTGTCAACAAACCACTTTTTAGTTTCATTCAGAGTCAATTTCAACTTCACAGCGAAGGATATTGGACTCGAGGCAACACAAGTTCAACTTCACAACGAATGGATGGGTGGTTGTCAACAAACCATTTTTCAGTTTCATTCAGAGTCACAACGAAGGGACGACTGGTTGTCAACAAAACAATTTCCCAGTTTCAGAGCCAATTTCAACTTCACAGCAAAGGATATTGAACTCAAGACAACACAAGTTCAACTTCACAAAGGGACGGCTGGTTGTCAACAAACCACTTTTCAGTTTCAGAGTCAATTTCAACTTCACAGCGAAGGCTATTGGACTCAAGACAACACAAGTTCAACTTTACAACGAAGGGACGGCTGGTTGTCAGCAAACAATTTCCCAATTTCAGAGCCAATTTTAACTTCACAGCGAAGGATATTGGACTCAAGACGACACAAGTTCAAATTCACAACGAAGGGACGGCTGGTTGTCAACAAACAATTTCCCAATTTCAGAGCCAATTTCAACTTCACAGCGAAGGATATTGAACTCGAGACAACACAAGCTCAACTTCACAGCGAAGGGGCGGCCGACTGTCAACAAACAATTTCCTAGTTTCAGAGCCAATTTCAACTTCACGACGGAGGATATTGGACTCATAACAATACTACCTACTTCGATTTCAACTTCACGACGAAGGGGAATCGTGCACACAAGCAGCATCCATCTCTAGATTGGATTTCAACTTCACGACGAAGGATATCCAACTCAAAGAAGGGTTATCTATCATCAAAGACCTTTGAGTTCGATTACATTCAGCTCAGAGGTAAATCAAATTTACAGCATAGCTCAAGGCAAGAAGGGCTATCTGTCAGCGAAAATTATCGAGTTCAATTCCATTCAGCTTGATGACACCTCAATCACACTATTATCCGGCTACAATCGAGGTTTTCAAGCCGAGAAGAATATCTGGGTTAGCCGTGCCTTAGTAGCAAGAAGCCTTTTTTCCGTCAGCATAGCTTAAGTCGAGAAAAGCTATCTGTCAACGAAGACTTTTCGAGTTCGGTTTCATTCAGCTCGAGAGCATATCAACCACATTATAGAGTCAAGGGATTACTTTCCAGTCGAATTTTTAGCCAAGGTCTTTAAATCGAGAAGAAGACCAAAGTGGACTACAACAAGAAGCCACATTCTGATTCAAATCATTTCAAGATGGACTCGACTTCGCGACGGAGGAGCCATCCGCAACTCAATTCGACAGGGAGTTATTCTTCAACTCCACTGAACGGAAATTTGTGTCTTTTTATCTTTGTCCTATTTTTTGTTCCACGAAAGAAGATAAAGAGGGGCAGCTGTAGACACCAATTTTCTTAAAAGATAGAACTAGCAAGAGTTCATCTCCTAAGAGGACTCTTCCACCACCATATCTTTTAAAGCAACAACCACACCAACAAAGGTGCAACAGCCGAGCAAGGAGTCTAGTTGCATTAGGATTCTATTGTTAGTTAGTTTTTTTCACTATAAATACATGTAATCCTTCCCATTTGTAGGACACGATTATCATACGGGATTACGCAAACAAAAAAAATACCAAAGCAAATATGCAATAAGCCCCAAAGATTCGCTTGTAATTTTCAACAGAGAAATAAAAAATGTATTTTTACCTATATGCTTCGATTCTCGCTTGCATGCGGCTTGTTTCACTTCTTCTTTTCCGTTTTTACTTTGAAAGGGCCGATGAACACAAGGGAACCGAGATCTTTTCTCTTAGATCTACGCTTCCCCGAGGCTTATTTTGAAAAACCGGTTTGATTTTCGGTTAAAGGAGGGGAAGAGCTTTTTAAAAATCTATATTAGTCTCTTTATTTATTATATGAATATTTTATTCATTTATTTTTATTATTCATGTTATTATTATACGTATATATATATATATATATATTTTAAATTATTTTCATTTGATTTTGTACTATATTTATATATATATATATATATATATATATATATATTTCTTTAATATTTTACTTATAAGTCTATTATTACTATATATTGTAATTATCTTTATCTAGTTATATATATTTTTTATACTTTTAATAGTTTATTTATATACCTATTATTAATATATTTATATTCTTAATTATTTTTATTTGATTATTTCTTTATTTACGTAATATATCTTATAACTTTATATATATATATTATTTTTTATTTTTTTCATTTTTTATTCATTATTATATTATTTTTAAAAAATCTTTTGTCTTTATCATTATTATTATTAAACATTATATTATATACTACTAACTTAGAAGACCCATTTTTTTGTTTTATTTCTAACTAAAGTCTCTCACACTTTCCTCTTTTTATCTTTTTTCTGACTAAAACCCCCTACTTTCGGTGAAGTGAGAGGGTAACTTTTCTATTTTTAAATATTTGTTGTATATATATATAGCTTATTTATTTTATTTATACTTTGATGTATATATATATATATTTTCCTTTTTCAAATATTACTATATATAATTATTACTTTACTATTTTTTCCTTATCTTATTTATTTATTTTATTTTTTTTCCTTTTATTTTATTCTCTTTATCTTATTTGTTTTCTTTACCTTGTTTATCTAACACATTTCTCAATTTTTTAAGGATATTTTCAAATCAATCTAAGGTAAGTAAACAGGATCAAATTTTACATTTTTATTTAAAATTACAATTTTCTTAATTTAAGACAATTGAAAATTATGTAGTACCGAAAGTGTGGTTCAAGAGTGCTAATCCTTTCTTGACCGTAACCGACTCCCGAACTCGACACGTTTCTGGTACAACACAAATCAGGTAAAATGGTATCTGACCCACCTAAATTCGTTTTAAAGTAGTCGGTGGCGACTCCAATCCATATTTTCCTAAGTCGAAGCCCAATTCCGAAGCCCAACCGAAAGACGGTTGCGACAAGAGCCTCTTACTTTTTTGTTTTTTTCAATTGAAAACGCACCCAAACATACATTTGTACATTGAATATGCATGCAATAATAGGTTTTATAGCCAGTGAAATCTGTTTTTTAACTGTCAAAAGTTTTATTTAAGTTTTGATCAATTAATTATTTGATAAAATCTTTTAAGTCGTAAAATGATATCAATTTTACTTTTTTTAATAAAAAATAGATAAAAACTTTAATATGAAATAGTTCACAAATTTATAATTTATAAATATTTTATAAAAATATTTATTAACTTATTTATTTATAAAAATATTTATTTTTATGTATAAAATAAGATTTTGATGTATATTTTTATTTAATAAATTTGGGGTGAACACAAAATAATAATTGTTAAAAAATTTAAAATGTTCATATTTTTTTCAGTATAATCATCGGTTTTCGATCTATTGATTGACTAATTTAAATCGAGTAATACAGAGTTAAGGGAGATCCTCTCAATCCAATTTGTTCTATTCGTAATCACCAAGATTCAAATAACGTTAATATTTGATACTCATGTATGTATATACGGTGTTCGATCTCAATGTACTGAGACAAACTGATTCACCGTAATCGATATAGAACTTCTAAGCGCACCTCAATTATCCTAAATACAAAGACCACTAAAAAAGCACAGTCAAAACTCAAAATCAGAAATGCTAGCTGTGGTAAACCACAGTGGATGGTTAGAAACTTAGAAATATCCTGATGCATATTTCCAAAAACCAAGGAGTGGGGGACTGGGGAACGCTCCTATGAGAGAAGACCCAGAAAGCACAAACGATTACCATCAATGGTGCAGTCCCTGCCCAAAACCCAGTTCCCACGCTCAGGCTCCAATCAAGCCTATATATGTTCCATTTCTCTCTAATACAGTCTCAAAACCCAGTTATATTTTCCTTTACTCTCGTTTGACCTTTGCTTCATCATGTTCGTTGAGAAAAACCCTGGAGATTATGAGAATGGTGATATCCCCAAGAACGTGGACGATGATGGTCGAATCAAAAGAACCGGTTAGTTTACCTGAAATATTCTTATTATGTATCATTCTTCTTTTACACGTTTAATAGGTTTTCTTGTTATATGAAGGGACTTGGGTCACTACTAGTGCTCATATTATCACAGCGGTGATTGGATCTGGAGTGCTATCGCTTGCATATTGCTCAGTTGGATTGGGTGGCTGGTCCAATTGTTCTCATGGCTTTCTCCTTCATCACTTACTTCACATCTACTCTCCTTGCTGATTCCTATAGGGCTCCGGGTTTTGTCCATGGACGAAGAAACTACACTTACATGGATGCTGTTAGATCTTACTTAGGTCTACAACGTACACTTCACATGATTATTGTCAGGTTTCTCAACGAAATATCAAATTCAGTGCTTCGTTTTGTTTTTTCTTGCAGGGGGAAGAAAAGTCCAATTCTGTGATTTAGCTCAGTATGGAAATCTTATTGGAATAACCATTGGTTACACTATCACACGTCAATTAGCATGGTGTAAGTATAATAAAAAAAAGATCATACAAGTTTGAAATTTCTCTTTGATAGTGATCCTTGCGCATTGAAATTTCCGGTCAACATGTTCTTTTGCTGTGTAATCAGGGCCGTCAAAAGGTCAAATTGCTACCACAAACATGGACACCATGTGAAATGCCAGACATCAAACTACCCATTCATGATAATCTTCGGTTGCATTCAGATCATTCTCAGCCAAATCCCAAACTTCCACAAGCTTTCATGGCTCTCAATCTTAGCAGCCATCATGTCTTTCGCCTACTCTTCCATTGGCCTTGGACTCTCCATTGCCAAAGTTGCAGGTAATCTAAAGCTCGCATATCTGCATGCAACAAGTACATATAACAACAAAGATATAAATGAACTCCTTTCCTGTTTCATTTGAGTGGCTTGTGTTTCATCGAAAACCTTGAGATTGTGCTTTGGATCCTTCGTGTCAACAGGTGGGGAACATTGCCTTTGCCTATGCTTTCTCCACTGTCCTCATTGAGATTCAGACAAGTATAATATTTATTTCTGTTGTGTATTAATTGATGGATACACACTTACATAAACACTAGTTTCATGTCTGTCCAATAATCTATCATGTGAATGTAAGAATATTAAAAAAGAAGCAAGGAAGGCAATGACAAGAGAAAACCTGAATAACTTGAAAAAGCCCCTTTTTTGGTGGCGGTCCTGATATACGGGACCAGATGATTGTGAGACTTATGGAAAGGCAGTCGCCTTTTCTGACCCAAAAATAGAAAGATTCGAATCCACGCGAAAAAGAACAGGTTTTGTTAGTGGGTTTTTAGGATGTTGAGTTACAAAGATTCCTAGGGACCATAAGGATTTGATGACTGATTCTAGTTGGCTGGAAAAAAAAACTATATTTCAGAGAAAAAGAACCCCAATAAAATCAATCGAAACCACGGGTCGTTCTGCGGTGCGGCGCCTAAAAAACGGCTAATATACGGCGTGACCGGTTAAACAAGTGACCGGTTAAAATTTAGACCGGTTATGTTATATTATTTAACCGGAAATATTATAAAGTACAATAACATACTAGGTAGCGCTTATATAATGTAATAGGTAGCGCTTATATTTACCTATTTTATAAGTAAACCGGTATATTTATACCGATAGCATTGCAAATTTACCTATTACATTATATTATATTGAAAGTGTCCATACTTTTTATAAAAAGGATCGATACTTTAACAGTGTTTCATGTTTTCCACCTACAATATTGATTTAATAATTTCATTTGCACAAAAAATTATTTGATTGTTTTGATATTTTATAAAATATTATTTAGAATTTTTAATTTAATAATAATATATACCGTAACGTAAAAAATAAATCATTAGACGCCTATAATTACTAAATTAATATCTTAAAACTCACTCAAAAGATAACCTTAAATTAATGTTTTCCACAGTGAAAAAAGTATGGACACTTTTATAAAAAGGATAAACACTTTACAATATAACCACTACCTATTGCTTGGCATCATATGAGATTTGGATTTTGATTTCCTTTTGCTTGGCACCATATGAGCTTTGGATTTTGATGAGCATCGGAAGTATTTCAGACTTATGATTTGGGTGGTACTCAACTTATGATTTAGTTGCTATTTGTTACATTTCTTGTATACCACCCAGATCATACGCCCGAAACGTTTCTGACGCTTTAAAGTTGACCAAAAAATAAAATGGTCGGGATTTCCCTCGCGTTTATACGTTGGAAAAAAAACAATGGAAATTAGGAATAATCAATGATAACATGCATATTGGCTTGGGCTAATATTTATAGTGGAGCCGAATATATATTGAAATTCAAACTCAAATTGAAATTTAAATTCAAACTCCAATTACATATGAAATGAATTTGAAATGCAGTGTTAAATTGAACATGAAAATTGCATAATTGATTCATACTGTTCAAGTAACATGCTTTATGAACCATCAAGCTAAAAGACAATATTGATTGAGTTCAAAGCTGAGTTGTGAGTTGATGGAGTTGTCACACTTGTCACATGGTTGGAATAAAGTACTCACATGCGAGATAGATACCTATTACATTATATAAACGATACCTATTACATTATATAAGGGCTACCTATTACATCATATGTTTACCTATTATATTGAAAGTGTCCATACTTTTTATAAAAAGGATCGATATTTTTTTTAAAACTTATGTAATTTATGTTTCAATTTTTTAACAGTGTTTCATGTTTTCCACCTACAATATTGATTTAATAATTTCATTTGCACAAAAAATTATTTGATTGTTTTTATATTTATAAAATATTATTTAGAATTTTTAATTTAATAATATATACCGTAACGTAAAAAATAAATCATTAGACGACTATAATTACTAAATTAATATCTTAAAACTCACTCAAAAGATAACCTTAAATTAATGTTTTCCACAGTGAAAAAAGTATGGACACTTTATAAAAAGGATAGACACTTTACAATATAACCACTACTATTACATTATATAAACGATACCTATTACATTATATAAGGGCTACCTATTACATCATATGTTTACCTATTTTATTGAAAGTGTCCATACTTTTTATAAAAAGGATCGATACTTTTTTTAAAACTTATGTAATTTATGTTTCAATTTTTTAACAGTGTACTGCGAATTTAAAATGATAATATACTTGTAGTTATTGTACATACCTAAATATGTACTGCGAATTTAATGTTGTACCCACCCTTTAACTACAGAAACATGTTCAAAATGAACCTTCGTTTACATATCCATCAACTCCTGGAGCACTGAACTTGCACAACAAAATTTTTGCCATGGATAATACTGATGTAGACAATGTTAAGCCAACCGAGGAATGCCATGAAGTACATAATGTTGATGAATCTGACAGATTGGTTGGTCAGCTCTTCTGTTCACGTGATCAAGCTTGGTACTTTTACAAGGGATTCGCACGGGAACATGGGTTTAGTGCACGTAAGGGAACAACACGGCTTGACGTGGAAGGGAATGTGAAGACACAAGAATTTTGTTGTTCCAAAGAAGGGTTTCGAGTATCAAAAGTCAATACTGTTGATCGTCAACATGCTCATACGCCAGTCACAAGAACAGGATGTAAGGCTAGAGTCGTAGTTACAGCAACAAATACAAACGATCAGTGGGTTATAAGTAAGTCTGATCAGAAACATAATCATGCATTGTGCACATCTGCTATGACACCATTTATGCGTTCTAATCGAGCTGTAAGTAAGGCTGATATCGATGAGGCAACAACATTGAAAGAGGTCGGTGTTGGCACGTCACAAGTAATGAACTATTTAACGCAGCAGGCAGGGGGCTATCATAATGTTGGATTTACACATAAAGACCTCTACAATGCACTTCAAAGAGGTAAAGCAAAGGAAATCGTCGATGGGGATGTGAATGCGCTTATTGCCTACTTTGATTATAAGAACATGATGATCCCGGGTTTTTTATGACATACTCGGTAGACGAATCGGGGGCATTGTATAATCTTATTTGGTCGGATTCTACATCGAGATCGGATTACACATGCTTCGGTGATGTAATTGCGTTCGACACAACGTACAAAGATAATTTGTATGGTCGACCAATTATGCCTATTGTTGGTGTCAATCATCACCATAACACAATTGTGTTTGCCACTGCCATAATCGCTGACGAAACGTCTCAATCTTTCGAGTGGGTGCTACAGAATTTTTTAGAAGCCATGATGAATAAATCACCTATTTCTGTTGTAACCGATGGGGATAGGGCAATGCAGAGGGCTATCAAATCTGTTATCCCTTATGCTAAGCACAGATTATGTTCTTGGCATCTTTCTCGCAATGCACAAGCTAACATTGGTGACCCAAAGTTTACAGCAGCATTCTCAAAATGCATGGCTTCCTGGTGGACAACCAAGGAATTTGATATTCAATGGCGTTCGATTGTTTCAGAATTCAACGTCCAAAAGCATCCATGGGTGATTGAGAAGGGAAATACACGACACTTATGGGCACAAGCATATCTAACCGGTCATTTCTTTGCCAATATTCGCTCAACACAAAGGTGCGAGTCTATGAATGCTTCACTAGCTATTGCACTGAAACACAAGAAGACATATTTAGATGTTGTTCGTGCAATTGAAGATGGAATTAGTAGAATGCGTATGAACGAGTTGAAAGCGGATTACTTAAGTTCCCATACAAAGCCCTTCCAGATCACAAAACTGGTCGACCTTGAAAGCCATGCCGCTGCGATTTTTACCCGCGAATCTTTTCGTGTGTTCCAAGATGAACTTACACGGGAGACATTGTACCGGATTGAGGCAGAGATTAAGTCCTTATCAGATGAATGTCAACATTATATTTTGTCAAAGTACGCAGAAAAAATAGGAAATTTGAAATTAGTTTTGATTCTCGTACGAAAACTCTAATTTGCTCCTGCAAAAAATTCGAGACCGTTGGACTTCCGTGTCGCCATCAACTTCACATTTTGAAGCAATTGGACTACACATATTTGCCCGGGACTTTGATTCAAAGTAGGTGGACTAATGATGCGAAGGCTTCTGCACCCAGCTATGTTGATTTGAATGTGTCTCCAGAAGTGATGCAAATGGCAAGGTTCGCTGCTCTACGTTCAACGTCAAGTAGGTTATGCTACATTGCATCAAAGACAGACGAGTCTTTCAAAACCGCAAGAGATGAGATGAAAAAACTAATAGAAGAATTAGAAAACTCGTTTGGTTTGAATCATTCAGTCAACCAGAGCATTGTAGTAAACAATGTTCGTGACCCTCAACGAAAACAACGCAAGCGAAAATAAGTGCCGAAGAACAAGGTCGAGAAGCAAATTAGGCGATGTGGGTACTGCAACGGTGAGGGGCATAACAAACTAACATGTCCTCAAGTCAAGCTTAGTTTGAGTACAAGCACACAGCCTACATCAACTGATTTTTTCGAAGACGGAATGGAATGACAACGATCTCCATATAATATATCGTAAGTATCAACATCACTCCTATTGTATGTACATATAAATATTTTGAATGAAGGAAGAAAAACCGCGTTACTTCAAATTACCGACACCTTTTTAAATGGTATGGACATAAAGTACCGACACATATATATAAAGTGTCGATATAGGTTGTAGACCTATTCGCTCATAAAACCGGTATATTTATACCGGTTATATTACAAAATTATCTATTACATAATTATGGGTTCCGATGTGTAAAATGTCGACACTTTTTTAAATCGTATCGACACATTTTCTTCCAATATGGACATAAAGTACCGACACAATATTAAAAAGTGTCGATATAGGTTGTAGACCTATTCGCGCATAAGACCGGTATATTTATACCGGTTATATTACAAAATTATCTATTACATTATAATTATGGGTTCCGATGTGTAAAATGTCGACACTTTTTAAATTGTATCGACACATTTTCTTCCAATATGGACATAAAGTACCGACACAATATTAAAA